GGGACAGATGGTGGGGGATCAGGATTTCTTCCTGAGAACAGGGACAGGAGGAGAGGGAACAGCCATAATTGCACCAGGGGAGGTTTTGGTTGAACATTAGGAAGATTTCAAAATCTTCCACCCATAAAGGGCGATGAGGCCTCAAGGGCTCCCAGCAAAAAACAGCCATTCAGCGCGAATCCCTGAATCTTGAGGCCTCTCTGTGAGGCTGTGGAATTAAAAAGCACCACTTGTCAGAAAAGCAGGATTTTAGGACAAATTTCCCTCCGTTTGGCACTAGATGGCAGCCAAACGCCGCGGCGGGGCTGGGACACGGGAAGATCCCGAGGGGAAGCCTTTGGGTGCAGGATTGAGTCATCCCGAGGAGGAGAACTGGGCTCGACACCCTGGATACTCCGAGGGCCCCTTCTGTGTCCAGGAGGTCCGCAGCGAACAGAACGCGGACAGCTGGTTACTGTTGGGATTCTGCATTTTAGGAGGAACGCTCACGCTTTTACTGCAAACTGCACAAATTAGAACGGCTAAAACCACGAGTTATTTATGTACCCACCGAAATACACTAGTTTCAGAATTGTTTTCTCACATGCAGGTCAAAATTATCACCGTGCTCCTTGCTCAAACCAGCTCACTCCCATTTTTCTCTGAGGGTTTTGTCATCTTTTCCCTTTTCCATCTCATAATGCTTTTCCACTTTGGTCTCGCACTGTTTCAATGGCAGGAGGAGGAAATGGAGCAGGAGAAATACAGGAGATAAACCAGGACATCAAAGGAACAAATCTATTTACCAGCCCAGCTGAACTTCACTAGTGAGGCAGGACACTCTCCTCGGTGCTTCTTACCTGAAGGAATAGGAATTTTTCTGTCCTACTGTTGCCACTGGTGCTGAATAGATCACACGCACACAGGTCGAAGTGTGGTGAAAGGAAGAGTTTATTTTTCCTCCCAGGATTTATAGGCTTCTGTCCACGGCCAGGGATTGGATGGTCAGGATAACACTTTCTCACTGCACTGGCCATGAGAGATGCCCATCACAAGACGTGTAACAGGAAGAATGTACACATATCTATGTTTACAGTTACTGTCCTGGGAAAGTCCTTAGAAAACTATGTTAGCAAGCTCAGAAGCTGAGTTTTCAGGGCGACACCCTACCACTGATATTTTTTCCCTCTTTTTGCTTTCTGTGGCATTTTTTTCCAGTTATCACCACAGCACTTCCAGCAGTCTTTTCATGACATTCAGCACCTGCTCCCACAACCACCGTTCTCCTCTCCTCCCTCCGGGTAAAACCTCTCCCTCTCTTTTGTATTTTCCATAAAAAATAAAGCTTTTCTCACTATCCCATCAGCTTCAAAAAATAAATATTTCCCCTTTCCTCATGCAGCCCTTTTGTTACCCAGCATTTCCCACCGAAACGTGTCCCCTCAGCATTTCCTCGCCCCTGCCGCAAAAACTTCTTTCCTTGGGTCTCCTCTCAGCCATTCCTATCCCTGACCATGATCTTCTTAATTATTATTCTGCAAATAACAAAATCTGATCACCTGGTGGTTCTGGTCAGGGAATTATCAGAGATGCAGTGACCAGACCTGTGCTGAAGCAACACCAGTCTCAGGGCGGTTTTGCTCAGGTTAAAACTGCCAGAAACCCCATCCAAGCATCCCTGCTGCAATTCCAAAGCTTTTACCAGGGATGTGACACTGTTACCTGCCTCTTTTCCTCCTTCCAGCCCAGCTTTCTTTTGGAACATGCTGGTGAAACACAGCGGCATGTAAAACTGAAACTCCAGGTCTCCATGGAAGCAAAATCCCAGCTTTTGCCTGCACCTCCAAGTAAAGCCAGGCAGCCTTTCCATATACATCCCACAAAAAAATCATAATGTAATTAAGAGAGATTCTATGTCTGAGGCACAGGCTGTTTCCTCCAGAAGACTCAAACCTGGGGTCAAGTTGGGCTTTGAGCTGCTCACATTTAAGCACAAGGCATGGAAAAAGCAGTTGTTTTCCTCACCTTTAGCACAGGGCAAATTAAAAAGAATCTTGCTAATGAGCATATCACTTGCCATTTTAACTGGTATTTGTACTGGGAATGACTGGATAAATGCAGGATAATAAAACACCTAAAAGGCATCACATGGATTTTTAATAGCAGGTACTTGTATAGTAACATGGAGAATGTGTAGCTGCCTTAGGAGCTGTTTCCACTTTTTCCCAAAGCAGCTTTTTGGCAGTTATAAATCAGCATTCTGCCACTTCTTTATTGCTGCCTGGACAGGGCAGTATGGATTATCATTCCATAAGCTACTCTGCACATTTTGGGAAATCCTGCAAAGACTGCAGAAAGATTTAACTGTGCACTCTCACTAAGGCTTGTGGCAGTTGAATTAATACCAAGCCTGTGTATATGTAATTTTCCCTTTTATTATCACAAGCAATGTCTACATTTGTGGTGGCAGAAATTTCCATAGTGATAGAAGGAAAAAAAAATCCAGTTATCAATGGGTCAACAGATATTTTGCTTAATGACAAAATCAACCAGAGAATACTCTGATTTCTTTTCCACTGAAAATGCATGAGAAACTGAAATATTGTTTCCTGTATCCCATTTTTAATGCAAGGAAAAGCAAAAAAAAAAATTAAAACCTTCAGAAAAGTGCAGATTTTCTTCTATCAGGATTTATATTCTTCTTTGACCCTCTGCTCAGCATGCTGTTGCAATGCAATCCCCAGGGATTGATTAATAAAAAGGTGAAATGACTACAAAAACATCTCTCCAGTATCTTCTAGGTGCTGCTTTAGCAGGTCATTATTACCTATTACACTATTAGGTCATTATTACCTGCAGAGGTGTCTTACTGAAGACAGTCATATTCAAAACTGTAAATTAAATTTCCATTTCCTCAGACTTACATCAGTGTTACCACCTGAATTACCCAGTTATCTATAGTCCAAACCTCTAGGAAATAAAACTGAGTATTCAGAGAATAAATCTCTTATTTTTCCATGAATACTGTAATCATTTTACAGTAGGCAATGGAATATTATTATGACCAGTTTGGGCAGTTTGAGTCAAGCAAGATCTTGAACCTTTAAATATTTATGAAATTTTCATTTCTTTTCATTATCCTCTTAATTTATTAAGTTCAATGCCAAGGTGGTACAAGGCTCATTGTTTATACAGCTGGTTTTCACATCTGGCAATTCATGACAAGATGAGGAACAGAATGGTGACATTGGTTGACAAAAGGTGACAGAGATGTACAAAATCAGTGGCACTCTGATGGCCCTGTGCTGAACTGGCTACAGCAAAGGCTGACTTTAAACCTTTAAAAGACAAAAATTTGTCTTCATTTTCTTAAAAATTGCCTTTTCTTCCAGCAGTCGATCTCCTTAGGGATAAAAACTCAAAAATGATGGCATCAATGAGTTGCTTAAATCAAGTACATAGGCAAGGTAATAAACATAGAATACTTATATGGAGTCAGCTGCATGTGAGAATGGAAACACAGCAGGAATAACAAAGAAAAAGCTGTTTCTGTCTGATGAAATGCAGACCTTCAGTTCCTCAGCCACTCCCAAGTTCTTGAAGGGATTATGTTCAGTACAAATACTGTGTATAGTTAAGGATTCCACACACTTCCTATATTTACCCTCTACCACCAAGTTTAAACTTCACAAACAACTTTAACAAGGAAAAACAAATAGGTTGTTCACCAGTGCTAAACATTTACACAAACAGATCACACATGAACCTGACGTGTTTTAACAGCAACAGTCCCTTTACAGCAGAGCCTTTCCCCTACTTTTTTTTCCGCTGTAGGTGCACAGTTCCTAAGTGATAATAAATTATTTTTTTGTGTTACAGCAGTCAACTACATACATACAACACATACTAAAAACTACCTCACTAAATACCTCTCTGAAGGCAACTACTTTATGTATATATTAAGCTTCAAGTAATGATCAGCCCAAGTTGGGTTTTTTTTGTTATTTTTAAAAAAAAATCAGACAAACCAACAACCACTAACTCCAGAGACAAGAACACGAGGGAGATACGCTTAACTATGAGAACTACAGGAACAGATACACCAATAAAAATCGGACAAATTCTCAGCACTAAGGCACAATAGAATCAGTACTAGAGTATGGCTAAAACCTTACTTTACTACAGCATCAAGTGAGGAGTTAACGGGGAGTGTTCCTATGCTCAAAACACTCGGCTATAACATCAGTGAGTTCTGTGGTCAAGAAGCTTCTACCTTAGTGCAGCTGTACTGCTAAAGGAGGGGATTTCAGGGGGCAAGGGGGGTGCTCACTTAGATCTTACTTATAATTAAGGGTTGGTTCCTACTTGCTCAACAAAATGGAGTTTTCTTACTGAGAAAAGCAGGTGTTGGATATTGATGGTCACTGGAGCTGACCAGAAAACCCTCAACCAGAAAACCCGTGTTGTTTTTGGACGGTGGCCAGTCTAGGCCCCAAAATTTGTGACCAGCATAAGGCATGATACAAAACCCACCTAAAACATGAGATTAAGTGGGCTTTGGACCAAACACACACTTAGATATGGGTTTGTGGTTCCACCAGACAGTTCTCCTGAACTTTAAACAACTTTACCCCACAGGAAAAAGATCAAGCACGGGTCTAAGACCAAGAGGTTTTATGTTAAAATGAGGGTGTTCTGGACAGTCTTTTCAAACAGGCCCTCGGTAAGATCTGCCAATTGCCCTTAAAAACAGACTATTTCTGGCACTTGTGGACCTCTGCCAATGTTTTTTGATCTGCGGAGATGCCACGAGTTTAGTCCGCATGAACGGCTCTGGCTGAGAAGCCACTCGAGGAGGAAGAAGAGCTCCAAACTCCGCTGGAAACGCACATCCTGGAAATTCGAGCACGGCAAACCCAACGCTGTCAGAACAGTCTGGAAAGCACTTCCCTCGACGGAAAGCGCTGGAATGACGGCTGCGGAAGCTCCGCGGCGCAGCAGCATCATCATTCCCTCCCGCACTACGCGCGGCGCGGAGCGGCGGCCGCGTGTCCTCCGCGGCTGAGCGCGGGGCTCATGAGGTTCTCGGTGATGTAGGCCACCAGCAGGCAGATGAAGACGAGCATCACGCAGATGGATCCCCCCACGGCCGTCATGGCCACGACGATATCGCGCATGGCCGCGGGCTCCACGCGGAACTCCACGCACTGCGCGGGCGGCGCGGGGCGCGGCGGGGCATAACGCGGCTGCAGGCACAGGCGGTAGCGCACGCTGCCGTGCGCCTCGGCCAGCAGGTAGTCGCGACATGCGGCTCCCAACTCCACGCTGTCGCAGGGGAAGCGCGTGTAGGTGCCGTCCCAGGAGCAGTTGAGCGCGAAGCCGCGCAGGGCGGCGGCGGGGCGCGGCGGCGGCCCCCAGTGCCGCAGCCCCCACTGCAGCAGCACGCTGCCGTTCCGCAGCACGTTGGCCACCAGCGCACCGCCCGCGGAGCGGTGGGCGCGGCACCCCCGCGCCGAGCACTGGAAGCCGCGGGCCGGCGGGCGGAAGCAGAGCCGCGCCGCCGCCGCGCCATCGCCGCCCACCTTGTAGGGGCACCACGGCTCGTTGGGGTCGCGGTCGGGGTTGGGGTCAGCGACCCCGAGGCACAGCAGGGCGAGCAGCGGAGGCAGCAGGCTGGGCGTGCCGGGCATGCCGGCGGCCGCCGCATGGAGACTCGGAGCGCGGAGCCGGCGGACGCGCGGGGAGAGCGCGGGCTCCGCAGCCGCCGCGGGGCCGCCAATGGAGAGGCGGTGCCGCCGTTAACTCTCGCCGGGCTGCGGAGCACCCGCCCGCTGCGGCCGCTGGTGGCCGCCCGGACACGGCTCTCGGGGCTCCGCGCGGCGCACGGAGCGGTGAGACCCCCGCGGGGGCGGGTACTAGGGGTCTTGAGACCCCGCACAGGGGAATCTGAGACCCCACAAAGGCCCGCACGGGGGATGCTGAGACCACGCGGGGGTGGGCACGGCGGGGTGTTGAGACCCTACAAGGACCGGCACAGGGGATGCTCAGACCCCACGAAGGGCAACGGGCATGTGCAGCCCCCGCCGTTCCTCCTCAGGCTCTGCTGTGCCCAGCGGGGTCGCGTCCCCCAGGGCTTGGGGGGGCTGCTTAGTCCTGCCTTGATCGAGTTGTAGATTTCATTCCACACCAAACAATGTTATTGTTTTATTTTAATTTGTCCGTGTTTTTGATCTGGTTTTACATAGGATCCTGTTTTAATTTTTGTAGCAGAACACAAGCATTTGTCTATATTTAAGCTGTAAAATACAGCAATTCTCATGTTGCATGGTTAAAACACCCCAGAAATGTGCCTGGGGATGGCCGGGAGGTGCCTCTCCCTGGGGGCTGGCACCAGCAGGACTGCAGTCCATGGCAGGGATGGGGAAGGTGACAGAGCTCCCCTTCAGCTGATGCAAACCTTGTTCAAAAAGATGGAGCTTACGTGGATTTAATTTTATTTTTAAAAAGGTGATAACCGCACACCCAGTCTGCTCTAACCTCGTGTCTTTGGGAATTTAAATAAACTCGGCAAGGATGTAATAAAGACACGAGACCCTCCGAGGTCAGCTGAGAGCAGGGATAACTCTGGGTCTTAGTGCACACTCTGAGACAAAAGGAACAGGAATATTCCTCTTCCTGCCTTTACTCAAATGCCATTTCTTCCCTCTGCAGCACGACCAGCCCTCCATCCATCCATCCATCCCTAGATCTGGAGTCAGCAGTTGATTTTGCAGCACAGGTGGAGACAGCAGTGCTCCATCCCAGCATTACACCGTAATTAATGTTCTCTGAACGACCTTGAGAGAGGTACACGGGAGTATTGACTTGTCTAAATGTGGAAAGAAAAGAGCTCTAATGAAACAATAATAAAAATACAGGCTTAAGCAGCATTTGGAGATCTTTCAAACTGTTAAATTGGTAGAAGTTACTTTTAGTCCTTTCTTTTCTGGGTAGCAGAAAAAACCCCACATTTATTTTTGTTTGTTTTGCTCACGTTTTGCATAGAGTTGTGTTCTAGATTTTATAGCAAAATATAAGCATTGTCTATATTTAACTTGTAAAATAGAATAATTAACATATTATTTTGTTAAAACCCTCAGAAATGTGCCTAAACACATTGCTGTAGTTCACTGTGTTACCTATTCAGAAACATGCTGAATTTGCAGTTTACTGTTTATGTTTTCTTTAAAAAAAAATTGAATTATCTAAGTTGAAAACACAACAAAAATAAGATCCCGAGGTCTACTTTTATTTCACAGCCTGAACAAGACCAAACCCAAATCATACCTGGAAGGTGATGCTTGCATATACTCAAAGTATAATTTGCAGCAGTGTGGAATTTGTTTTAAAAATTTTGCTTTCTAATGCATTGAACATGAATGGCCTGACATCAGGACACCTTTTCTTGTTTGAAAGACTGTGTTTTTCAAGTGTATGGTTCCTAAGGAAACCTTTAATTTACCAATATCAAGTATTTCAAGTTATTTCCACATCTAGTTTTCCACCAGATTTAATGGGGGTGTCGGCTAGCCTATGGGAAGTTGCTAGAAATCTCTTTTGATACCAAGAGGGATCAATGGGAATCAATAAAAAGATAGGATCAGCATAGAAGAGGATGCTGAAGGTGCAGTTATGGCTTGGAAAATACTCAGATATTGGAGCAAGAACAGGTGCTGTGCTGCTGAAGGCACATCTTGACAAATTTACCTGTGGAATTCCAGCCAGGATGCAAAAACTGGATGGCCCTTCCTGAGAAATGCAAGCATGTTTAGGAAGTAGCTGGAGCCAAACCAAGCAAGTTTTTCCTCCTTCAAACTTTGTGTCCTTCTCCTAACAGTGATAAAGAGCAGATTGTTCTCCAGAGCTGTCGTCGTTTCCATGTCCAAGGGGAGATCTGGCACCAACCTCTGTGGTTGCTTGTGTTTAACAACTCATTCTGAGTTCCAGTGGGAGGTCCAAGGGTCTGACTGGAGTGTGGTGCAGGGAGAGAAAGTGGTTGGCCTGAAGCACTGAAGGCCCTGAACCCATAAAAAGAGTTTCAACACTAGAGGTTAACTACACCTTTTTATGGCCTTGCACTGTGTCTGAGCAAAAACCCAATTATTTATGCCGGAGCCAAGCAGACCCACATGCTTTGGCTTGGTCAGCCCGCCCATGAATGCTCCCTGTGAATCTTGTGTGTCATTATTTGTTCTCCTAGCAATCCATCTGTTTCCTAAGACCTTGTTCTGTGCTTCACTCTGCAGTAAAACCCATTGCTTCAGCATTCTGCTGCTCAGGCCAAACCCTGTAATCTGCTCTAAACTGTGAACCCCCAGCAGCATCCCAGATTGCTTTACAGGCCTCCAGACAGACCCAGCACCATGGGGTTCTGGCTTTTCTGCTTCTCCTCACTGGGTTTATTGTATCTTCTTAGAGGAAATATTGAATGAGTATTAACACTCACTCTGGGCCAGGCAAGGAAGCACTGACAATCTACAGCTCACAATTTATGTAACACTCTGCTAATTTTAGTCTCAGATATGGCCAGGGCAGACAATCCCCAGGGCAGAGATGTTTGCTCTCAGCTGAGGGCAGCACATGACATATGGTTCCTAAAGCATCCTCCAAGCTGGGAGCATTGCATTCAGGCCTGAGTTGCTTCAGTTCCCTCCAAGTCATAACTTTGAGGATTACTCAGCCTAGACAGGCAAACACAGAGAATCTGCCTCCTTATTTAGATTATCCTGCAGCCTGAATCAGTGAGCAGCCTCACCCCCACTGGGCTTCTATTTCCAGTGTTTGATGCGCTTCCAGTGAACCTGACAGTGCCAGGCTAAGGGAGAGCAGGAAGTGGAGCAGGCAGGGAGAGCTGTGTTGAACACAGCTGGGGCAGCTTGGACACGGAGCTTTGGCACTGGGGCCATGGGCTGGGTGGTCAGGGATGCTGCTCTGACCTGGGAATGGAAGGCAGTTTTGATCAGGATGCTCTGAAGCAGCAACTGCAGCCTCAGCTGATCTGCTGTGAGTGTGCTATTCATAGAGGAGGGGCCTTGCATCACAGCAGGGCTGGCAAGAGAAAGCACCAATGCAGCTTTAACCATCTCAGGGCATTTTGGATATCTTAAACCCCACTAGAGTTCTGTAGTGAGCTCCTTACTGGGCTCTGGCACTTGGCTAAAGGATAATTTCCTAAAATTTTCCCTTTCCTTATTCTATACTTTACACCAAAGTTGGACTTGCACAGCTGATTGTACTGATAAGAAACACAAGCAGAATCAAAACGAAGAACAAAAAAGTCCTATGAAATGTAATTTCCAAGCAGTGGAAGAAAAAATAATCAATGCTGTCAGAATGAAAAACGCTGAGCTTGTCAGGAAATATTGTTTTCTGCAGTATCTAAAAGTGCTTTCAAAATATGCCAGAAACAGGGGATTAAAAGAGCTCAGCTAATTCAAATAGAGAACAAAATTCCTCTGAATTTTTACCAGGTGATGACATTCAGCCACAAGCTGTGTTTGATGACTGAGGTCCTGGAGTCTGGGATTTCCAACATGGTGATGAGGAAGAAGGAGACAGCTCAGGCACACGGCTCTGACACAGGGCAGTGAGTGGGACAGCTCTGCCCATCTCTGACTTTGAGATATCGTGATTAGGCCCATTCTCCTTTTCATTTTAAATTCCAGGGATTCCAGCTGAAGGTTCCTTCTTTGTCCCTGAGGTCAGGTAGGATGTCTTTCGGAGGCCAAATGAAGTACCACAGGATTGAATCTACTGTATCAACAATACCCAGCTTGCTGATTAAAACCTGTCTAGAAGCAAAATTTACCTTAGGTCCCTGTCAAATGTTGGGAGACTGGAAATAAGCCAAACTTATTGCAGTTGGAACTGTATTAGCTGGGCTGCAAATATTCCTTCTTTCCCATTTCTTGGTGTGGCTGTCCCCATCCCCATGGGGAAGAGCCTCTCTCAGCTCAGACCGGCCCTCACCTCCAGCAACAAGGTTAGGGAAGATGCACTACATTCCATGGGGACACTCTGAGCCCAGCAAGACTGTCCCAGCTCAAAGGCAAAGCAAGGAGAACTCGCCAAGGATCTGCTCCGAGTCTCTGGAGGGCCTCTGCACCAGAAAGGGGCTGCAGGTGTTCACATCCACACACACACTCCCACTGCTGGCCATGGTGTGTGCTCTTGCACAGCTCCAGACAAAGAACAGGAAATTTCCTCCGATTCCCTCCCCACCCTACTAAGAGGGAAGCAAAGGGTGTGTTAAAGAAACACTAGTGAGCAAAATAATTTATGAAGATAGATTCCTTTGTATTAGAGATCAGTTGAGTGAGTCCAGGGACTAGCTCAGGCATCCCTCCACTGCCCAGGGGGGTAAAAAATATCCCCCAAAACCAACCAAAAGACCCCTCTCCAGCTTCGAAAGGGGATGTGAAAAACAAGAAGGCAAAGAACACAGTAAGTCAAAGAGTGCTTCTAAGAAAAGCAGCAGGGTAAGATCATTCCCAGTCTGAGAATCGCCTTGGGAGGCAGCAGTGGCCCCACACCGACATGGAATTATCCTCTGAAAACCCCCTGCAAGGGCATGCATAGAGTTTCCTCCTCCTGCCTTTGTTCTGGGCAGTGTTTCATTCAGGGGCCAGTTCCCAGGAGGAGTTCCCATCCCCTTATTCCTGGAGTATCCCATTTTTCTGAAGCAGCTCTCAGAAGTAGTCATCCTTCTTGCCACCAGCTCCCTGCATTCACCCACGGTCCTTCCGCTCTTGGACAAGCTCCAGGTCATCTGTGTCATCCACCTCCCCTCCATGATCCTCCTGGGGGTACAGGGAACAGCCAGGAAGGAAAAATCAGCAAAAAGGAAATGCTGGAAAGGGAGACCCTAAATAACAGCTCACCATGCTGTCCCCAAGCAGAACTGTTCTAACAAGCCAGCCCAGCTTTAGAAACCTGGGAAAATAGGGAAGAACCCACCTCTGCCAGGCACCTTTAGGTGTCACTGGCAGGACACAGAGGTGTCGCCATGATCAGGCAAGGTGTTTTAAGCACATTTAATATCCTGGCAGTACAATGCAACTTTGACATCTCAGCCTGTTGCCTCTGCTGCATGAAGAGCAGAATGAGGGGCAGATATGAAGAGCAGATATGAGAAGCTGACATTTTACATCCACCACATTTAAAACTGTGTGTAAAACATGCTCCAGGACAGGCAGCAGCCAACAAAGCCTCCATGGATGGTTTTAGCTCCAACCATCCATTGCAGACACCAACAAGAGGCCTGGATTCACTCAGGGAAGAAGAGCCCTGACACCAACACTGCTCTGCCTACCCCCTATTTCCCTACTCCATTCCCAGCAGGCAGCCCAAACCCTCAGCTCCTCAGCAGTCCTGGGGAAACTGCAGAAAAAATCCTCAGGAGCCACTCACAAAGGGCAGGGAGGGAATGAATGAGACTGGAAGAGGGTTCATTTCTATCTCTGTGAGCCAGAAGGTACCAGGGTGAACCTCTCTAGCTCATGCTTGACAAACATTGCTCTGGCCTTGCTGCACTGGCACAGCCTGCGATTCATCACAGTTGCTGTTTGGGAGGCATCCCACAGCTCAGCTGCTGCAGGTAGATGCAGACAGAAAGAAGGAGGGGACAAAGAGCACAAAGAGTGCTCTGAACATCTGAAAAAGGGAGCAGTGGTCTCCAGGTTCATTCTGGAGACCTCACTGAGCAGGCAGAAGCAGACCTGGAGTCCCTGCTCACATCCGGCTCCCTAAAAGCTGAGTCCTCCCCAGCTCCTGGCTGCCAACACACCCAGGTGACACCACAGCAGAGGGGGAAAGAGGAAGAACCTTGGTGTCGTACAATTTCTTGCTCCTGATCTTCTTGGTAGTCCTCCAGTGGGTCTTCCTTGGGCTTGGGAGGTCTGGCAGCATCCTGAAAAACACAGCCAGGCATGGTTGAGAGTGCCCCAGCGTGCTCCTCTTCCCTGCCAGGGACACAGCTCCCTGGATGAGAGCCCCAGCTCTGGAAGTAGGGCTGGATCAGGAATCAGGGGGAGCAGAGGGACAGTCAGGCAACCCAAACTCCATTTATTTTTTCCATCCAGTCGCTTTTCCCACCTTCTAGCAGCTCCTTCCACTTGGAGAAGGATGTCACTCCTGCAGCAGGAGGGCCCCAGGGCTGGTGCCTCAAGCCCCAGGACTCTGGAAAACTTTGCATTATTTAGTGTAGAGCTTGGGGGAACACAGCAGAGCCAGATCGGAAAGCCAGGTATTTATGTCACTAATTCTTTCCACATTTTCACTAATCTCAAGGAGGTGTTGCTCTGCTGGTGTCAGCATCTCTCATTTGATTTCCTTGGCCTGGATTTAGTTTTTTCTTTCTTAATCCCACTGTTAATCATGATTTTAGACCCTGACAGATAAAACACTCCTTTTTTAAAACAGGCAATGTTCAGCTGCTTGTCAAACCAAATGAACATTTCCCTGATACAGAGTCTGGCTTCAGGCAGCAAGAAACACTTTGTGAAATAAATGGATTCCATCTGCAAGGAGGCAGACAAGGAGACAGAGCTCTCACATGCATTGCTGTCAGGAGCCTTGGACAGGGCTGCACTGACCAGAACCCGAGCACAGACTCAGATTATTGTCTCTGGTTCTGGTCCCAAGTGCATGAAAAGTACCTGAAAAAGCCCCTCTGCAGGAACAGCTGGGAGTGAGCCATCCCCTATTCCACATCTCTGCATCCCTAAGGGCACTTTAGGTGCCAGGGGGGACTTGGTGTCCCAAGCAGAGAGGATGAGGCCAGAGCAAGCTCTGGTACATGGCTAAAAGATAATTTCCTAAATTCTGTCACCTTTGCTTATTCTGCTCCACTCTGCCCCAGAGCTGGAGTTGCACAGCTGGTTGTACTGGTAGGAAGCACAAGCAGAAGCAAAACAAAGAACCAAAAAGCCCTATGAAATGTAAATTTCAAGCTTCATTACAGCCAGTGGAAGAAAAAATAGGTTGGTTTTGACCAACCTGCCAGAGAGCTTTCTCCTGCCTGTCACATCCTCGCAGTGGGATTATGGATCCATCCAGGAATCTGATGTTTCACTTTCAGTCCTTAAGCTCTCTGCCCACCCATCCCTAGCTGAGGATCCCTCCCTGGTCCTGCTGGTTGTCCCCAGTCAGTCACCTTTGGCGATTTCTCCTTTGACTCTTCTTTAATGCTGGGCTCCTTAAACTTCTCTGAGCCTCCTATCTTCTCTTCAAAGTCAGGTCTCTCCAGCTCAGCCTCCTCAAACTCATCCTCACCTTGGTTATTGGGGTCCTGGGCAGGATCTGCAGCATCAACTGGCATCTGGACAAGAAAAGCCTCTTGTGAATAGCTGGCAGGATATTCCCTCAGGAGGCAGAAAGGTGCTTTCCCCAGCAAGAAGCGCTGGCCTGGAACACTTCGTTGCACCTCTCCAAGCCTTTTAGTGTTTGTTAAAAAAACCCAAAACAGTCTTTGTTATCCCTCCAGACCCAAGGAGATTGGAGTTGCACATGACAGAAAATTCTGGGCAATTATTGACTTATTGGACTCTTATTCCAAGCCAGAGTTGCATCCAGGTGAAACATGGCAGGATGAAAAGATGAAAACTTTTCACAGCCAGGTTGGACGGGGCTTGGAGCACGCTGGGACAGTGGAAGGTGTCCCTGCCCATGGCTGGAAGGAGGATGAGATGGGCTTTAAAGTCCCTTCCAACCTTTGGAGTGGTTTTGTGATGCTGTGGTTACTCACCATGGGCTCCTGGACCACGGCCTCTTTCTGTGAGTGCATGTTCTCCTCCCTGTTGATCACTCCTGCATCTGCCAGGGACAGGGACAGGGACAGGGACAGGGACAGGGACAGGGACAGGGACAGGGACAGGGACAGGGACAGTCAGTGGGGTCTCCTTAAAGCCACTGCCAGCAGTTTTGTGCTTTATCTCAACCTGCTCAGCGTAGCCAATGCTCTGTGAATGTGTGCAGAGAAATATCATAAAGGAAACTATTTCCATACCCATTTCCAGCTCCTCCTCATCCACCCTCTCCTCTGCTGCCTGCTCTGCCCCTCTCCTCAGGCTGGGGGGCTGGGGGCTGCCTCTCTGTACCTTCTGCCCAGCCTTGGGGGCAAACTGAAGGTCCTTGGGATACCCATGCACTTGTTCCTCGTCCATCTGGACGTTCACCTTGCTAACGAGGTCCTTCCAGCTGCAACCAAACAGAACACCCCTGCCTCAGTAAATATTCCATAAAACCATTTCATAATGGCAAGCAGAGAAAAAATATACTCCAACACATGCAGAAGTTTGGCCTAATTTAACTTTTTTTTTTAGTCAAAACTAGCAGATTATATTAATTACTGTGATATCTGCTTGAAAAAAAACATTTAATATGCCACATGGTAAGAAATAAGTTCTGCTTTGTAAATACAATTTATTGTAGAACTCCCTTAGTATTATTCATATGACAATGACATCCACATAGCAATAAACTCTAATTCTAAATAGGTTCTTACTCATGACTCACACATACCCAAACACACACATCTAATTGTTTAAAAATATCGAAACCACAAGTCCTCTTCATTGTTCCAACTTAATGGAAAATGAAGATGATACTAAATTAAAATGAATGCTTCCCAAATACCTCAATAGCCTTAGTCAGGGGCAGCTTCAGAAGCAAAGAAGGGATGAAATCCCATTGACAGGGACTCAAAAATAAGTGAAGCAAAACCTTTTAACCCCAGTAAGTTGCAGCAAATTCCAAGCAGGCTCATTGCTTGCTACAGCCTATCCTCTACATGAAATTTAAAAATTTTTTTGACATTTCAGTTTTTTAACTGCTGGAAAGGACAAATGGCCTTAACTTTAGCAGCTCTTTAAGCCAGCACACAAACAAATGAGATTTAAAAGTTTGCTTAAGACATTTCAGTTTCTAATTACTGGAAAGAACAAGTGACTTTAACTTTAGAGGCTCTTTAAGTCAGCACACAAATCCCTCAGTAAGAAGAATCACTACCCAGCCCTCAGCTCAGATTTCCCCATTGTAAAATCATTGAAAAGCAGGCTGGCCATCAGCAAGAGCTGATCTGGAACTCACTGGTCAGAGCCTCCCAGGGCAGTAATTCCTGGATGTGTGCCCCCTTTGTGCTCTGCTGCAGCCTTGAGTTGCTCTTGGCTCTGGCAGGGTTGGGTTCTGTGCTCTTTATCACAAATCTCAGCCCATGTCAAGAACAGCCTCTGTAACTCCTTGGTGATCTGGAGTCTTGTAACTCCAACTGCTCTGTAACTCCTTGGTGATAGCTCCAGGAAAAGCAAAGCACACCAAACACCTCAGGATCCCTGTCCTCACCAAAATCCCTTGCCAAACAAATCAATGCAGTTTTCTGCCTCACATGAAGTGACAGGAGCCTGGCTGGGCTCAGCGTGGTGAGGAAAGGCCATTCTGCCATCACAGCCCTCAGCCACACCCACACCAGGCCCACACCAGGCCCTGCCTGCAACAACTGATGCCTTAGCATTTCAGCTTTTCTATTTTTCATCTATTTGTAACCCTGCAGTTCTTTAGTGCATGTTATAAATCCATACCGTGATATTGGCTTTTCACAAATATTAAGATGAATGTTCTATGTTACATGCTCTTGCTATGTCTTTTTCTTTTTCTCCTGCTAGCAAGTTTTAGGCATAGGTCAAGAAGAATTTTGGACATTAGGGCTAGGTCCTGTCTGTACAAAGCAAGATAACCTCCAGTGAACAGATGATGGGGCCCAGGCTGCTATCAATACTGACCACCTGTAGAAGAAAGAACCCCAGCCCAAATAAAAAGATGATAAAGAGAAATTAAACTTCTAGGATGCATGTTCTAAAAAGGCAGGCCCAGGGCGTGGCCATGCAAAATACTTCTTGGAAAAGTTTGAATATGCATTAAACCCCTACAGCAGAATGGGATAAAAGAAGTGTTCCAAAGATACAAGGTGTACTCTTGGCAGTGTGCCAAGACACCCGGCTGTTACTCTTTATTTTATGTCTCCTATTGTCTTTATTAAACCTTTTAAAATTTAACAGGAGAGTGAACCTCATTTTTCACAGTGCAGAACTCTACACTCCACACACAGTGGGAGCTGCTGCCTTCCCATTTTGGGCAGACACAGCAATTCCTCTCCTGGCCTGGGAATCAAGGACACCTCACTGCCCCAGGCCTGAGAGATGGAAACAAAAGTGAGTTGGGGGCAGCAAACTTGGGGTAAATTCCTTCGTTTCCTGAAGCTGGCATTGGAAGATTAACCCCCAATCTGCAAATGGACCAAATTTATAAAAGGATAAAAACCCATGAGCCATGGTCCATTTTGGGTGGTTTTGTCTGCCCTAAATGCACCTGAAGGCCCTTTGATAAATAGAACTGCTTTTTATTCCCTTAATTTTGTCTGGCCTCTGTTTTTAGGGACTCCGGAAAAAGCATCACAACCACAACATCCCCTGAGCTGTTCCTGCTGTGGTCCCTGCAGAAGTGATTTATCACAGCACTTTGGGGAGGATGTGGCCATTTAAAGAAATAATCAAAGCACAGTTTCTGCCCTGGAAAAGCCACAGGTTAAGTGATCAGACAAAAATAGAAGAGAAGAAAGGGCAGGAAGAGGCTGAGTCTAGAATGAAATGAAGTTTTGTCTACAGATAAAACAGAAATGAAATCCTGTTTTCTCCAATAAACCGAACAGACACAACCTGCACACACACAGGGGATAAATAAATTAAAGGAGGAAGCACTATTTTCAGAGCCACTTTTTGGATTGTGGCCAGGCTTTGATGAATTGCAGCCAGAGAGAGACAGTTTCTTCCTTTTGCAGAACAGAACAGTCTCCTGCCAGTGCTGCTGAGACAACAAATGGTTTCCCCAGTGTCTGTACAGCATCCACTGGATCCTGGGCCCTGACCAGGCTCCCAGGAATTCCACCAATACCAGTAACACACAAAAAAAAGGCTGTTCCTCCAATCATTTTTCAAGCAAACCCACAATAAAGATGAGAGAGACCTGTGATGCTCCTTTTGGGCATTTTCACCCCAAAAGCTGAGAGTGGAAGAGTTTTGTGTCACCAACCTTTGCATTTGCACCTGTCTGATCCCTGCTGAGTGGTGGTTATCTGGTACTGGAGGCTTTTCTGCTGGAGAGGGTCGTCCTGGATCAGCCAGGGACAGCCCAGGAGCCTGGCTTTCCTCATGGCTTCGCACCTGGATGCGCATCACCATCTTCACATCCTGCACAGGAGACACATGTAGGCACCTGGGATGTCAAAGACCCCCAAATCTGGACAGGTTTATGGGCCAGAAAATCCTTAATCAAAGAATAAACATCTTGAAATGCTTAAAAAAAAATCTACAGCCCACCTGCCCACCCTGCAGTAGAAGATTCCTCCTTTAGCGCAGCGAAAAAGGAATAATTCAGATCCTACGTTACCCAGATTTATCTGGGGTAGGTGAATCTCCAAGAAAAGAGGAACAAAACCGCCTCTAAAATACCTCTCCCACATCGACATTACTGTAATTAAAGTCCAGCCATGCTGCAATTACTGTCTTTTTTTTTTAAAGAGATTTGCTGTCCATAACTCCCTCTCAATCTCCCCAGGAGGCCAGGAGGGCTGCTTCGATGATTTATTCTTTGCAGCCTTGGCAGAAGAACCAAATCCCCTGAGCCTGGCCACGAAATCACCAACTCAGTGTGTTAAACCTGAGGCCAGCACTACTCACACACACGGCACCACAAACACCAGAATTCAGAGCTTTCACAAGCCAAGGCCACACCAAAGCAGTGTAGAACCTACTGGGTTCCCGTTGGGCAAGCTGTTCATGGTGCGGGTGAACCTGACCACATGGCTGTCCCCAAGCCGCACTGGCCAGGCTGGCACGGCCTCTGGCAGTGAATTGGCACCCTGTGCTGGGGCTGGCTGACTGAAGGGCACATGTGGCTGTGGCCTGGGGCCATCATGTCTGGAAGATCCCTGTCCTGCCAGCTGCTGAGCACTGGGCACCGCTGAGGGCAGCGTGGGATGGTTCTCTTGGCTGGCCTGGAAAGACTGCAAGGAAGGAAGGAAGACAAGAGTAAACTCAGCTTTGTTGTCTTAAAGCTCCACCAGCCTTGAAGAATGCTTATCCCTGGGTTTTCCTGGGAATACCCCACCTTCTGTCTCCCCAGCTGCAGCTGGCTGCTGGCTGGCACCAGGGGCTGCTGCCCCTTCCCAGCTCCTCCTCCTCCTCTCAAGCCTGGCATCTTCTGGAGAGCTTCCTTGAGCTGCCTGAACTCTTCCATCTGGGCCTGAGTGGAGGAGAAAGACACAGAGAAACTTCACACGGGGTTTAACATACCCCTGCTGGGAACAGCCACTCCTTATTTGTCTGGCAGAGGTACATTTTTAAGAAAATGTGTATTTTATGCATATGAAAGTTAGAGAAAATTCACAACCATTAATGACAAACCCAGATTTCTATCTTGCCCCTTTGCCAGTCTTGTCTCTCATTTTACTGCACTTCTACCCTGAGCTGCTACATTGATTCTTTTCCTGATGCTGTTCAGTGCAGGAGCCATGGATTAACTCCTGCCTTTGCACAAGGATCATATCCTGCTCTTAGCTGTGCCTCCCTCTCCTCCTGTACCTCCAGATCACCTAATTTCCTTCCAGTGGAGGCATTTCCCCCTGGATGTGCTCATCCCAGCAGAGCTGACAATAATTGGCATAATCCTACTTGACAATCCAATTTACTTTGCAAGACAAAGGAAAATCGATTCTCCTGGACTGGGTGAGCAAATACAACCCATCTCTCTCTTTCTTTCATTTCCAGCCCTGAAAAGTAGGGCTTGAAAAAGCCACTCAGAAAAGCTCCTCATTTCCACCCTTGTTATTTATAGGAAATTGAAAGGGGGAGACCTTTTTCATGTGCTTGCCAGGGTACCTGGCAATGGACCAAATTAGGGACTGGACAGAGTAGGAAAGTTTTCAAGCAGCAAGCAAAGTTTAGCAGGAAATTAATTCCTGAGCAGGCTTTGTTGATTTTCAGTTCTTCCCCATGAAATGTGACCTTAAAATTAACATTAAAAACAAAACAAACACCAACAAAACCTCTCAGCAAAGCAAACATAAAAGGAATGAGGAAAAGGCAGCCAAGAAGGGTTCCTGGGATATTAATTTGTAGGAAACTTCCAGTCAGGACAACCCAGATGGATGCAAAACTTGTACCCATCCAAGCATCACTTGGAAGTATCTGGAATGTGGGGAGACGTTCCATGGTTGGGAATTCAGAGGCTTTGTGCAGAAAATCTGTATTTTCAGCTGCTGGAATAGACTCCAGGCTGGAGAATTTTCCAGAGTGGATCTACACTACCAACACCATTTTAGGCAACTCACCACCCTGGAATACAGCTGGAAACTGGATTTATTATTTAGAGAATATCTGGATGCGGACCCCAGGTGGTTACCTGGGCATTGAGGAGCTGGGAGTGAACCTCCTGGTGAGCCTTCCTGAGGAGCTTGCTCTCTTCTCTGAGTTTAAACACAGTATCTGCAGGAGAAGAAGAAATTTGCTTAAAAGAGAAAGTTTTTTCAAGTGTGGCATCTCCCTGTCTCACCATTGATTTCTCCTGACCTCACAGATCTCTCCAAGCCCAGGAATTACAAACCTACTCACCATTCCTTCCAGCATTCCCAGGAATTCCTTCTCTCCAGAGTCTTTCCTACCTCCTGCTCTCAGCTCAGGCTCTTGGTGTGTTTGCCACAGGACTCAGATAATGCTTTTTTATTTCCCTTCTCCCTTGCAGCTCAAGAAAAGGGGGAGCAGGGAGTCACTGCCCCTTCCTGGGGGAACTGGGAGATTAAGGAAGAGCCCCAGGAAGGGTTTGCCAGCTCTCCTGAGCCCACAGATTCCCTCCTCCTGCACAAAGAAGCTGCTTCTTGATGGTACAAACAAAAAAAAAAAACCTGCGACCCACTTAGAGAAAATAACCATGGGACGGCTTTGTCCTCAGGCACAGCTTTTATGGAACAGTTGTGCCTGCAGCCTCCAGGTTGGAGCTTGAAAAAGAGCTTTTTCAAACTCTTTGCACGCTCCTGAGCACTGTAGCGCCAAGACATGTGATGTGCTGAGGTCTGGGGATCATCATGTACCCTCTGACAGAAAGGAAAGGCTGTGTCTCAAAATGCCAGACTGATTTTGGATCCTGGATCTCTCAGAACACCCCCAGGACAGGAGGCACCAGGGTTTCTCTGAACACACAGTTGCAATGTGGGCTGGGATGGGAATTTTTCCATGACTGGATGGTCTCTGTGGTGGGCTGAATAGCACACAAGACTCAAAATTACAGATATTTCTGATTACAGGGTTTATTTTCTTTATATTCAGCCCTGGGACAACACATTTTTCCACTGAGATTGGGTGCCATGCTGTTGCCTTGCAGTGAGGGTTGACATCAAATTGAGAATGGAACTCACTGAAAGCCAATCTAACAAAAACCCCTCGATTCCCCTCTAACAATGTGTATTTCAGGAACAGACACAATCAAATACTTAGGTTTCATTTATTTGTCCTCAATTTCCCCCCCTCTAACCCAAAAGCTCATCAGATATTATAATGCACTTTGCTGAGCAGAGGGAAAGAAACCCAAACATCCACAATCAGATTTTGATGTTCCAGACCTCATCAGGTAGGAACAGATGCAAACCGTAAAAGCCCCACAATATAATTAAACAGCAACTGAATAAAAACTACTCTTTGGGAATTAAAGGGATCAGGGTTACCTACAACACTCACACTATTAAATTGCGTTTTACAGACCTAAGCCATTCATTAAAAAAAGTGTGTCTCATTTTGCTCCCAAGCTCAAATGTCAGAATTTGCAGGATTTGTTCCAGCAGCACCGCCTGAAGCAGGACAGTGCTCCAAGACACTGCACATCATGATACAAAATTGTTCCTGGCGGTGTTTTTGGGGGCTTGCAGAGTAATCTCTGCTCTCTCTTGATCCCAGTCCTTCCTCAGCCTGGTGTTTTTTGAGTTTTTATTACCCTCACCCTGCAGGTTGGTGACCTCGCTGTCCTTCTCCTGCTGCAGCTGGGTGAATTTCTGGCTGTGGGTCTCCAGGCTCTTACGGTGCTCCAGTTTCAGGCTGTTGTGCTGCAGCTGCAGGTCCAGCAGCTGCTTCTTGACATCGTCGTGCTGGTTCTGGAGAGAAGAAGAAGAAGGCTTAGAGTCAGTCCTAGGGGAGTAATTGAGTATTGCCAAGTGTGTCTGTTTAATCAGTTGCTTGAGGGGGCAGGAGAAATGTTTGCTCCTCCAGTGAGGCAGCCAGAAATTGCAAGTATAATCAAGCATTCTCTGTGTTCAGTGGTCCAGGGGAAGATGTAAAATGCCAGTTAAACTCTGCTTTGGGAGGAGGTTCTGGGGGTTTCCTTGGGAGCCAGTAAGCTGGAGGCAGAATTGGTGGCAAGTCCCTTTCTGGAACAAGGCCAGGAGCTGCTCCTGCAGGAATCCATTGCAGTGCAGGGCATGAAATTTGCTGGTATCAAACCAAACACCTGTGAAACACAAATCCAAGGGCTCTCCCAGACTTCCCAGTCCTCTAAAGGACATTCCCTGCTCCTTTCCATGGAATCCCAGCCTGCACACTGCAGGGTGGGAATAATCATCTCTGAAGAGGGTCGAATGCCCATGACCTTCCTCAGGTGTTGGACACACACCTGGACACCCAGGGCTTTTCCCTCTGCTTGGTTTGCTTCCCAACAGCCTGGAAGTTCTCCCAGACACCCCTCAGAGCTGCTCTGACAGGACCGAGAGCTTCTGCAGGGATCCTGACAGAGCCCACGCTCCCCACAACACCATGGGGCTCGCAGGCATCAAATTCCAGGGTAACAAGACTCTCACAAGACCACAGACTATTTAAAGAATTCACCAGATAGAAGCAAGCTGGAAAGCTGCTCTCTTCTCCCCTCCCCTCTTGCAGAAAACACTCAGAAACATCCTTTTACTCAGATCTGCTGAACCAGAATTCACCTCCTTTGGGTTTTTTTTGTTGTTGTTGTTCCCATGGTAACCCAGAGAGAGATTCCTTCCACATTCAGTTTGTCAACACCAATTATGTATGCAGATTGAGTGGCTCTCAGGTGAACCCTGGCCCTGCCACACCATCAGGATTCAGGCAGCCATTTCAGTGAGGCTTCCTGGGGGGAAAAATAAAATTTAAAAAATATTCTTCTTTTTTTACAAACCTCTAAATGCTATCAATGCTTGCATTTATCTCCCGGAAAACAAAGTGTCTGTGGCCCAGGCATTCCTCCTGAAGCAATTATCTTCCATTAAAAGAGATGTAGCTGTGCTCCAAAAACACAGGCAGTGCAGAGGAAAAGATGGAGGCGTCCCAGAGACAGAACAAGGACGTCAGGTTAACCAGATCACAAGATCTGGAAGGAAAATAAAGAGAACTGAAGATTCCCACTTCGGCTTTCAAAGGTACTTTGAGCGCTCATCAGAGCCCCTAGCAGAAAGCACTGCAGAGGAACCAGTTCCCTAAAATAATTTTGATACCAAACATCTCAGAAACCACAACATTAGTGAGGTTTGATTTAAACAAGAAGCTCCTGTGAAATCCAAGGAGTTTTCAGTTCTCATCAGCTCAGGCCAATTAATTTCTCGACTATATTCTGCCTGTGAGGTGATGTGCATAATTTGTGTTGCCAGATTGCTCCCAGGCAGGAGGGAGGAAATTTTCATCCTCTGACAGTAGCAGGAGCTGGGAAGGGAGACATATGCCTCAACCAAGGTCTCACACAGCACCCAAGGCTGCTGCTTGTCCAGCACAGGGAGCATTCCCACTCCCAGCTGCTTTCTGAGGGCTGGGACCAGGAGGGGCAAAACTCCAACAGGAATCCAAAGATGCTGCTGCAGACAGGAGGTCTGGAACAGCCCACATGGGATTATTAATCAGAGAATTTAATTATCTGCAAGCAGAACTTTCCTGACCCAGTCAGTTCCACCAAGGCCAGTATCCTGAGGCGCCCAGGGACCTCTCATGTCCTTCTGAGTGAGAAGATTCCCTTCTCCACCTCTCAATCCTGCTGTCTAACTCAGTCAAGCAGCACCTGCAGGATACAGCACATGAATGTTGTGTAAATGATGTTTAGTGCAGCTGGGGTGAGGGGTGACATGACATCTTGTCCTGGCATTTCTGGGTCCCTCAGACTGCAGTTTGTGGAAATCATCATTCCCAAGTCAGCTCATCTCCCAAAAATCAGGAGTTCTTCCACTCAGAGCAGTAAGTTCTCCCCTCCCACCTTCCTTCTGCTGTTTAAACAGCAGGAAGTGCCTGAGATGTTTCAGACCCAAGGCAGAAACTATCAGGTGAAGGTGAAGAAGGCAATAACAGCACCTCAAACCCAGCTATTTCTGCCTTGATTTAAGAGCAACTTTGTGGGCAGCAACTGGACAAAGTGGAATCAATAACCTGGATGTTTAACCCAAAGCAGAGGAAGGCCACACATCATTTTTCATGTTCCAGCAGCCTCAGGAAGTCCACACCAGAATTCCTTGGCCTGCTGCAGGGAATGCCAGGATGCCTCCTCCAGAGTGATGGCAGCCAAACATTTTAATCTCCACTCAAGAGGAAGAAAGGAATTTTTAACACAAAGCCTGGCCCCAGCAGGAACCCAGACACAGGCAACTGATGCTATTTTTAGGCAAAGTCAAGCCCCTCTGAGGGGCTGTGCCAGATCCAGATGTGAATCAGACATCGAGGGAGGACCAGAGCACACCAGGGTGTCAGCAGTGGCCAGGAATACCAAAGCCAGATGTGCTGCTGTGGCTTCATGGAACCCTTGGGTGACATTTGGGACCTCCAGCCCAGCTGCTTTTGTTCAGTATGCCATGTCCCATTTCCAAGGTGATGACATTCCTGGCAGCAATCTTCCTCCTGAGCAAGCCAGTTCCACTGGGAAACATTTTTGCCTGGGCTGCAGTGACAGAAGTGTCACACAGAGCCTCATAATGGGCTAAAAAGTGCTTTTTCAGTCTTGGGGTGGGGGGGGTGGGTTGCAATCTCCCTCAGTCCCAAGGGCTGGTTTTGTCTTTCAGCAGCTGTAAATGGAGTTTAAAAAAAAACTAGATGGTTTGGGGTTGTTTTTTTTTTCCCACCCCTCCAATAAAAGGAAGCAAGAGAAAGGGAGCCAGGAGAAAAAAAAAAGCTCTGAGTGTCCCCTTGAGAGAAGCCAAGCAGAGCATTCTGCTCAGCCTGCAGTTGCTATGAAGAGAAATGTTGCTGTTGCAGAGTGTTCCCAGAATCCACAGTGCTGAAGAATATCCAAGAGACAGAACTGTACTTCCGTTTTCCTCAAGCTGGAATCCAAAAGCCAGGCAGCTGGAGGTCCAGCTTAGCTCAAAAAATCCAGCCCAGCAGTGCTAAGGGCAGCTGGAACCCAGCTCTCTTTCTCCATCCCAGAGTTAAGTTAGCATTTCACTGCCAAGGTTTAGACTAAAAACATTTAAAAAAAAACATCCCAGCAGCACCCAGTTGCACTGCTCCAACAAAAGCAAAATTGAACATCAAGATACACTTCAGGTAGAGCAGGTGATAAGCTATAAAATGCTATAAAATGCTATAAAATGCTATAAAATGCTATAAAATGCTATAAAATACTATAAAATGCTACATGCTTCCCTGCTCTGAGCCTCTTCCATGGACTGGAATATTTTGTACAAGCCCAAAGGGTGAGCTCCAATGAATAAACCCATTTTCACACCGAGACCCAGAAAACCAGCAAAACCCTGAATGATAAAAGTGCAGAAAGGCTGCTATCGAAACAAGTTGTGGGTGAGAGCTGTAACCTGAGACAGAATCAACAGGGAACTGTCCTGGACCTGAGCAGTCAGGGAGGAAAGTGGATCAACATGGATCTCCTCACCAAGTGCAGGAATCTTGGGATTTTCCATCCCTTAGAACACAGCAGCCAAACCTTCCTTACCTTCAGGATCTTGTGCTGGGAACTGAGGGCTCCGTATCTGTTCATGGAGTCTTGCTGGGGAGAAAAAAGATCCAGCAGTGCCATTAGAGTCCAGAAAAATCCAAGGGAGGGAGAAAAAACGCACAGAAGCACCTGCCCAAATTCACACCCTCAGGGAGGGACTGGGACCAGCCCACCTTGGGGACAAGCAGAACATGCAAGGCAGGAAAAGAACGTTTTTCCAAAAAACATTTTCAAAGAACATTTCCCAAGCAATTTATTAATTGTGGGGTTAATTCACATTTTGAGTGGTTTTCCCCAGCCCTCAGGGAAAGCCCTCAGGACTTTGTTCAGGCAAGGCCTGGTGCTGATGGAGCTTTGCGCAATGAACCCCTTCCCGCAAGGCTGAGCTCTCCTGGCAGCAGCTGAGGGGGAGGAAGAGAAGGCAGCAGAGCTCAGGCTGTCACCCACACACCGAAACTGCAGTGTTTCCACAAAAAAAAAAAAAAAAAAAGGATCACTAGGCAATGGAGTGAGCCTCAGGCAAACTCTGTAAGCAGGCAGAGCAGCCAGAGCTCAGATGGCCCAAAGCAGCAACTGAGAGGGATTCACCCCTCCAGAGGGGTCTGTGTCACTCCAACAGCTCAGCTCAGGCTCACCAAGGGTCACCCCCTTCCTCTGTGTCCCCAGGGTGCCATTTTTCACCGCAGCAACATCATCCCCTCACAGCAGGTGTGGAGTCAGAGTCACCACCCGCTGTGCCCAAAGGCTTTGTCCCCAGGGCAGCAGTGCCACCTGAGAGGGTACAGTCCCAGCACAGGCAGGTTCACAAAACATCTGCTGGCGTCAGAGTTTGGGCACTTCAGAGCAAAAGGAAGCAGCATCATGAAGTGCAAATGACAGGCCATGTAGAGACTGCCACTACAACCCCCAATTTAATATGATAAATACTCAATAAATACTCAATACAGTCTGAAGTATCCCTAGCAGATGAGCCCAAATTGCAAGGGAGTTGCCCACCATTAAAAAAAATTCAGATATTTTTCTGTCACAGGCTGACATTCACCCACAGAGGAGCAGCCTAAAAGTGATTCCCCTTTTCCAACATCTCATCCACAGATGCTCTGGGAAAGGAGTAAAGCCAGCCTGATAACTTGAGTGAATGTGACAAACTGTATCCCAGGGATGCATTTCTTCCCAGCCCTCATTGAAGAATCCTTTTCCCCACCGAGTGGGGAGTCCACAGGCTGGTGAAAATCAGCTGACAATCCCTGGAGACAGAAAACAATGGATATGCTTTGCCCAGCATCACTATGACCTTTCTTCCCATGATGAGCCTTGCATTCAGCCTGTTCTGTCCCATGGAATTCACAATTCCCCTGTAACACCAGGAGCTGGGAATCATCTCCTTGGCTGTCACACGTGGGAGCACAGGCAGAACAACTCCAGCCCTTTCCCTGAGATGGAGTAAATCCTCACTCCTTAAGCAGAGGAGTCAGCCAAAGTTCAGCCTGTGCCACACACACACGGAGCCTTCCAGTGGCCTCACGACCCTGGTGGCATCAGAAAAAATATTTCCCATTGTCCCACAGACAGCATGGGACAAACCACACCTACCTTCTCCTTGTTGAGAGCTTCCTGAGCTTCTAACTTGTACACTAAAAAATCTAGAAATGGGAGAAAAGGAGACAGTTTAATGAGCTGGAATTCCACAAGGATCTGGTTTGGATTTTGCAGAGGAGGGGGAGGGAAGAAGGAACTCAGCCCCTTGCTGAGCAAAAGCCTGCCAGTCAATAAACTGGAATGCAGATGCTGCTGGGAGGCCATTCCATGCCCCTTCTATTTTTCATAAGAGTTGTCTACCCAAGAAATGCCCTTCCTTTTCCATTCCATAGGCAAGTGCATTGATGGTCTCCTACCTCACAAACAAAAAGCTGCAGCTTGATGTCAAGGAAGCTGAATAACTTTTTGAGGTACTCTGAAATGAGAGATGAGTCAGGAAAAGGGGAACCAAAATTGCTGTGAGACCCAAACTCATGTGCTGATCTCATCTGTGCCAGCTTCTTAAAACAGGAATACCCCACAACAAGGTAACATTTATAAGAATGCTTCATTTCCTCAACAAATTAATTAAAGAGGCAGCACAGAAATGCAAGTTCTGCCTCAGCCAGGCAGCCACAGAACTGCAGTCAAACCTGTATGCTGGATACAGCACCCAGAAGCACAGAGCATGCTGGAGTGAGGAGCAGGGATGCCACCCCACACACCAGTTTTAAAGATAAAACCCAATTTATTAAGTTGCCAACAACAATCTGGTGCAGAGGGGCCTGACACCCAAGCACAGCACTCTGCTGAAAGGCACATGAGTTGATCATGAGTTGGGCTTTCTGCTTCCTGCTGTATTCCATGGTCTTAAAATGCCCTGCATGTTTGTGTCTTGTCCTGAGCACCAGCTCTACAGGACCTGGCAGCCTGCATTGTCCAGTGATGCTGCTACCACTGAGCACCTGTAGAGCTCAGCATCTTCAGCTCACTTTTGGGAGAAAGCTGACATCTTTCCAAGGAAAAAACATGGTCCAGTGCCAGGTTTAGTCACCACTTGAAGTGTTCAAACACCACAACAGGACGGCTGTTACTCACAGATTGGCCTGAGGACAAATGTAGGAGTAGGAGAGAACAGAACCCACCTGTCAGCACCCTCTGCCCACAGGCACATCACTTCACTGTTCCCAGATTCCACCCAGGGACAGCCACTGAGGCAGGAGAGGCTTTGGGGACAGCTGGGGCTTTGCCTAGGACTCACCTTCCTTTGTCTTCTTGTGCTCCCCTCGCTCCTTCTGCAGGGATCGCTCCAGCCGGGACCGGTGCTCGTACACCACTGTGGGAACAGAGAGAGGCAGAGCATGACACAAACCTCAAATTTAGCCCCACATATCTTTCCTACCTGGAAATTATTCTCCTACCTGAAGCAGGGAGGGGACATTTGGGCTGCAGACCATGGATATTCCTGATATAACACTCTCCAGTCTCACCCACAAATTGGGAGTATTTGCACTCAGGTTTTGCTTTCAAGCTCAAGCTACGATGTGCAAGAGACGCTTTAGTGATCGGTGGCTAAACTGTGTTTTTGTGGGCCAAGTGCCTGCCAGGCTCAAGCAGCCAGAGTCACCTGTTCTGGAAGGGCATCAGCACCATGCAGGAGAGATTCTTTCCCCTTCCACAACCCAGGCCACACACAAAACTGAGAACAGAGAGGGCAGGGCTGAGCTGTTCTCAGTTGTTCCAGACAGTGCAGCTGGTCTGGACTGGACAAAGTAAACCTAGACATAATACAAATCTAATCTAGCCATAACACAAATCTAATTTAGCTAGCCTAATTCACGTCTGAACCACTGCACACCACTGGCCAGGTGCTGGGCAGGGAGAGAAGTATCAGCCAATGGCTGTCTAACCCGTGAAATTTGAATTGAGTATTTAAGTGAGTTCTGAATAATAAATGGGGCTGTTTTGTCTCATGAACACCGAGGGCACGAGTCGTAGATCTTTGTCTCCCTACCTACGACCGTCATGTTACACTGAGCAGCCACATGACAAATGGAAGTGCCAGAGAAGCCTCCTGATGGATGGTGACGAATCCACTCTGATGTGTGAATGCCACCAGCTCCAACAGGCTTCTCATGCCCTCAGACGGGCCAGGATAGCACTGGGCAGCACTCAGAGGGAGAGGCAATGAAAGAAACCTTCCAGATCCAAGATCCCTGCAGAGACAAGACTTTTGGGGGTCAGTTGTGCCATAACTCACAATCTCCAGGAAAATTAAGCCAGTGGGGTGCATGAAACCAGTGCTAATCCATTCCCTGCTGAAATCTTGGCAAGCCAAGAGCCCCAAGTGACTCATTCTCTCACTCCAAGTGGATTTGTGGACCCTGACAGCTCCACTCAGGTCATGCTGGAGCAGCAAATTCCTCTGTCCTTTCTGACTTTCTTCAAGGGGCAGCAAGGGGCAGAGACATAGCTGAGCCAGGCTGAATACTTCCTTATCTTTGTGAACACAGACATCCCAGTGATGAAGATGCTTCTCCTGGACTGGGCCACTCCACTCAGACTTCCTTCTGAACCACATTGTCCAAACCATTCCAGCAGTGGTTTCAACCTGGAAGGATGTTTCCTCCTGCTAAGCAGCAAGCCCATCTCTGCAGCTGTCCAAGTGTCTCCTCCGTGATAGCTTTATTTTTAGGAGCACTTTTCCCAACAGACCGCTCAGATGCCACCTTGAGGGCCTCCCCAGCTGAGCACACAAAGGGCCATGGGTGCTTCTTTCCTCCATGCTAGAAAAGCCTTGTCAAGGGAACTGTCAGCTTGAGAACATCAGCCGCTTCACACAGGATTTGGGAACCCTGGGCACTCACTTTCTGACTCTCTCACGTCTGACTTCCTTGCAGTCTGATCTAGCAGAGCTCCTGAGGGCAAGGCTTTGATGTGATGGGAACTTCCCACCAGCAATGGGCTGTGTTAACACCCACAGCCACAGATCCTAAGGATCCTAAGGATCTTCCCAGAGCAGGGAAGACTTCAGGGACAGCTCCAGTTCACAGGCTGTTGATTCAGAATTTTACAGCACAAAATCTGGCTCTCCCTGACCCTGTTTTTGTAAGTCAGATAAACTGAAGTAACCTCCAGTGACTAGAAAATAAAGTTTTAATCTCTCCTGCCTTTCCTACAGGTCCCCAGAGCCCAGAGAAAGTGGGTTTAGCTTCACACAGAGCAGGGAGTCAGCACTGCACACAGCAGCATCTCAGCACCTCAGGGTGTTCAGGACCAGCAGTTGGACTTTGATGATACCAGTGGGTCCCTTCCAACTCAGGACAATCCAAAATTCTATGATTCTTTACTCATCTTTGTGGTGAGAGACAGCAACAACTCATCTGACCCAACTGGCACTGCACAGTTCCCGAGGCCAGGGAGCCAGGAAGTCTTGAACAATTTGCTTCTACAGGAGAGAATGGAGGGTGGTCAGTGTCTAAATTCAGCTGGAATCCAGCCAGGACTTGGCTCTAAGGCACCCTCACCTGCTGCCAAAGGAGCTGCTGAAACAATGAAACCCCTTGCTGAAAAAGCAGGACCAGGTGCAGAAGAGGACACAGGAATTAGTCATGCAACAAGTGCAGGACCGAGCCCAGTGCCCCAGGTTTGTCCCCAGAGCACTGCAGGGAGCAGCCACAGCACCAGAGCCACGGCCAAATGTGCCAGGCACTGCTGCACTGCCAGACTCCCATGAGCATCACTCCCATCTTCCCCATGCCAGGCTCCTCCCAGCAAATCCAAAAAGAAGCCTTGCCTTTGTTAAAACTGTTGGACAAGTGAGTGTCTTCTCAAAATAAAAAAAGGGTAGCCATGGCAACAACTGTATTTAGGGATGGGAGGACTGACAGGCGGTTAGAAATCCAAGCAACAGGCTGCAGCTCTGCCAGTCACACATATTTGGGTGGAAAAAATATGAGCTTGGCTCAGTGGTTGGCCTGTTGTTCCTAAAACTGGGGCTCCCTGAGGCTGCCACTGTCATTCTCTGGAGAAGCAGCCCCTCTCTCCAAGAGGAGCAAGAGGTACACCAGGAAGGAATGTGGGTTCTGTAAGTTCTGCCCTGCTAATCTCTTCACATCCCAAACTCAGGATGCAGGTGGAAATCATGGCTGGGGCTGAGCTGTACGTGTTTGATTACCTCGTAGAGCAAGGAAAAATGGAACCAAACCATGAGATAACAGCACTGAACCTGAACACACATCAGATCCATTCCCAAGGCTGGTTGGGTTTTGTTTCCTGGAGAGGAACATACACACCCCCCACACTCTGAAAACAGAGCACACAGCCCTGGGCACCTGGCGGGAAGCTCCATTTGCATCACAGAACCATCAAGAGAAGATGTAACCCTAAAAGACACAAATGTCGAGTCACAGGTCTGCCGAATGCCCCAGAAATCCAGGCCATAGGAAGAATATCCCTAGATGTGTCCAGGAAGGTCATGACAGATACCCTGTATTTTATTTTAGCTGGGGAAGTGTTCCCATATAAACACTGTGATCTAAACGGACTTTTTTAGGGGGTGGGGGCAAATGGGTTAAATAATGTCTTGACCTTGAGAAGAACAATTTTTGGCCACCTCGATTCATTCTGTGGGTACTCCAGAGGCAGCCCGTCCTCCAGCATTAAACACCCCAAGTGCTGCCTACCCCGAGGGGATCCCCACCAAACCTCTCCATGGGGAGCTCAGCAAATCCCTCCAGAGACTCCAAATCCTGTGACAGCTGATAGAAACGTCGCCTTGGCCCAATAAGGCTGGAATGATAGGCTGGACAAAGGAGATGAGAGTTCAGCGGTGGAGTAACTGCGTGTCCTCAGCCTTCCTTGCCGACAGCTCCCCGTGGGCTAAAATCCTGTTTTCCCACAGTGAGGCATTTATGTAAAGAGGACAAACGAGGGGAGAGAGGGGGAGGAGGAATCCACACGCTGTGTTTGCCTTCCGGTCTGCGGCAGCTCTTGCCAGAGGAACCAAGTGCTGGTCAGCGGGATCAGAAAAGCCAATTCTTCCTCCTCCTCCTCTTCCTCTTCCCCTCTTTTTAGGGAGATAAATTCTGGAGCATCCGTCAGCCCTAAAATGCTGGCACGACTTTTTTAGTCTCGGATCAACCTCTCGAGACAGAAGTGGGTTTATCGCCTTGCGAAGGGAGTGGGCAGCAGCAGACTGTGACAACAAACTTTAATCAAAGATCCCTTCCCTCTCTGCTCACTTCCACACGGGGCAGAGAGAGCAGAGCCGCATCTCAGGGCCTGACCGAGCAGCCCATGCGTTTTCATGGCCTCACATTTCGCGTGACAGGGGTTTAGATCTGCAGCCAAAGGGAAAAGAAATGTAATAGACGTGACGCAGCTGAGCTCGCCGATCCCCCTGTGCTGCGAGCAGTAAATTCAGACTCAAGGCTGCTCTAATTGCTGACATCCAAATAGGGGAAAAAGGAAACGGGAACAGCATCTTTAAAGCCAAGAGCTGAACGTCTCCAGGGCACCCTGCTCATGGCTGGGAGGGACAGAAGTTGGGGCAGGGTGTGCACACACAGACACCTCCAGAGCGGGTCACTCACCTTGGAGCTGGGCTGACAGTGCTTCCTGCTGCTGTTTGTATTTCTGCGACAGCGCTTCGGCGTTCCGCACCTTCTGCTGCAAGTGGTTGTAGAGGAAAACTCCGGAGGTCAGGCAGGCCACGGTGGCCAGGCAGAAGGCGGTCTGCAGCAGCCCCTTCTGCCTCCTCGAGCACATCCCGGTGCCCATGGCGGGGCCGGAGCGCAGCGATGCAGCGCTGCCTCGCCGGCGATGCTAGAGCATCTGATTCTTTCCGCCCAACAGCCCCTTTCCTCCGCAAACTCTCAGATCCCTCCGGAAGATACGATTGCAGGCTCGCCTTCGCTCTCTCCCAGCCCTGGAGAGGCTCCTGCCGGGCTCTACTCCTCGCTGTCCATCGGAACATCGGTGTCCGAGCGGAGCAGCCGCATACTCGGCCCGGGGGGCGGCCCGGGGGGCTGCGGGGAGAGGGCAGCCGGCGGAGGGCACCGAACAGGAGCAGCAGGAGGAGGAAAACTTTTGCTTCCCATGTGCTGCGGCGGAGGGGGGGGGGCGGGAAGGGGGTACCGCCGCCTTTGGCACTTCCCACCTCCCCCGCTGGAGCAGCCACCGGAAAAAATAACCCGGCGAGAGAAGGAGAAGCTCTTGGGCCCCCTCCCTGCGGCTTCCCCCGCCGGCAGCTCCTGGAGGAAGTGGCGGCAGCGGGGCCGGGAGAATGGCCAGGAACGCGGCGGCGGCGGCGGCAGCATCCGGGCTGCGGCGGCCCAGAGTCCGCCCTCGGCGGCGGGAGGGGCTGCGGGGACCGGGGGGACAGAGGGGAACCGGAAGGGACAGAGGGAGACCGGGGGGGACAGAGGGGGACAACAGAGTCCCGAGCCCGTCCGCCTCCCTCTGCCACCGCCGGGACCAGGCATCACCTGGAGCCCCGTCGTCCCCGTGTTCCCTGCTCCAAACGAGCTGCCGGCACCTGTGCTAACGGGAGATGGATGAGAGATACGGGAATGGATTAACCGGGAGAGCATCCTCACGAGAGCTCTTTAAAAGCTGTGGTTTCTCCTCGGGAAAATAGGAGCTGGTAAAGGCAGGAGGGCAGCATGAGGAGAAGGCTGTGAGTTTGGCTTTTTCCAAATGGTTTGCGCTGGAAGGGATCTTAAAGCTCGTCTCATTGCCCTGCACTGGGCAGGGACATCTTCCACAATCCCAGGGTGCTCCAAGCCCTGTCCAACCCGGCCTTCGACACTTCCAGGAATGAGGGATTCCGAGGTGTTCTGGACATGCCCTCCACGTGGGCTCTTCTCTTCTGGCAGAGCCCAGCTGGTTTTACCCAGGTGTGTGATGTACAAGATGGCCTTTAAAGGTCCCTTCCAACCCAAACCATTCCATGATTTTTTACCTCATGGGACAGACAAAGCTCCTGGAGGCTTGCCTGTGATATGAGCTCAGATCTAAGACCCCCAGGTTTGTAATGAATCTTCTCTGCACCAACACCCTGACTGTTAGATTGGCTCATCTTTTGTCTGAGCTCACAAGGATATTTCTTCTGGAATTCTGTCACGTTCCCTCTTTCAGGTGCCTGGGGAATAAGCAACAATCACAACAGTTCTTCAGCAGCAATTCCCCTCTAAGAATTGTGCATGGTGGTTTCATAAATGTTAATTAATTGAGCTTTACAGCACTGCTGGGAATTAGTTGAGTGACACTTCTGTCACCCTCATTTGTTGTGAAGAAAACCGAGGCACAGTGTTCCTGTAAGGATATGATTTATCCGAAGTAACTTTTTTATGGTAGGATTTCCCCCACCCAAGCATTTTAAGTGGATTTAGTGGATTTGTTCTGCCAAACCTTGGGTGAGACTCAGCCTGCTGGAAACGGGGTGATTTGGCTTACGGTCCTGGCTCTGGGTGCAGCTTCCACTAAACATTATAGGCTTTCCTTAATGAATTAACTCATTATTGCAGTTATTTCTGAAAACCAGATGCAATGCGATGTTTCACGGCACCATTTGTCTGCCATGGATTGCATGTGTGTAGGACCAGGGATAACCTCATTACTGATTCCCAGATACTCAGTTCAAGACACTCCACTGCAGCAGACAGATTTACTGTCCAACTGTGTCTTTACACAAACACCCAATCCTGGGAGATGCTGAATGCTCCACCATCTCTTCAGGCAGTTTGTCAGGAGCTGGAATGTCTTTTATCTGCATCCTGAGGACTGAGCAGGCAGCCCATGGGATGAGGGTTTCAGTCTCAATTTTGCCTCTATTCAGCACATTCTTTTTTTTTTTTCCCCTCCTGCACTCATTAATTACTTCCTCGTGTGCTGACTCCTGCCTAAGAAACACTGAGTTTTTGAGGTTTTTGACAGAGAGGAGTCCAGAAAAGGTTAAAATCTGGATTAGGGAATATTTATCTGAGAAAGATTTGATTGACAGAATTTCTGTGAGCAGGCACTTTACTTTTGTAATAAATAACTTTACTCCTGCAATAAACTCAGGTTTAGATTTAACCCCATATTTTCTGCACCAGATTTAAATCCAGTGAGACCCAAAGGCTTTGCTTCATGCGTGATCTTCCTTATGCAAATTCTCACAACATCCCACATTTCTAAAGGTCTGCACGAGTATTTTTAGGAAGACACAGAGGAGGAGAGACCTCTGAGCTCTCAAGCAAATTGACCATAGGTAACAGCTCCCTTCAAACCCAACTCAAAATGCTTTGTGCCTCAGTGATTATCTGACCATCTCCTCTTGCTCCCTCTAATCCAGTGGGTGATCTCATGTGATGACAGTTTTAAAATAATAATCTGAACAAAACAAGCAATTCCCATGGGAAAGCTCGGGGTGTATGTACTTGTAAAGAAAATGCCACTTTCTATCCTGTAGAACAAACCGTGAGTATTAACCATCTGTTCAAGTAGTGCAGTGCTGGAAAGCTCCAGCCTTTTAATCAGAGCTTTGGATTCCATAGCAGGCATTTAATCGGCTGTGGGAGTGTTTTCAGCCAGGTTATGTAAATGCTGTCAAGAAACCAAGTGGCTGAAAAAAATGGATGGAAGGAATATGCTGGGAAGAGGCAGAGGGGAGGCTGGATTGTTCAGGGGTTGCAGTTTTATAAACCTACAGGTAAATGGGTAACATCCACAACCCTTTCACACGCTCACCCTAAAGGCTTTATGGAATTTGGATCTGACTTGTTGGGAAACCTGCTCTGGGAATCCAGTGCACAAATGTGGGAAGAAATAGGCTGAGCAGGGGAGGAATTTGAGGCAGGAGTCCAGAGGATGAGAAATGACAGGCATGAATGTTTGAAAGAGTTCTGAAGTGGACACCTTGATGTACATGGATTTAGAGCATGAGAAGAACCAGCACTCCTGAAGGTGCCTGCCCTTCCCCACACAGAAATTCCTAATTAATTTCCTCCAGGTGCAAAAATACCATAAAATTTAACCATCCCTGGGGACAGATCTCATCTCGGTGTCTCCAAGGTTAAGGGCTGGAAGAGCTGAAGCATTCCTGTCTTCCCATTACAAGAAGTGACAGCTTCTAATTAGAATTCATTAAAGGCAGGCCCAGGGAACTGATGGGACCATTTCTCAGGATGTGTTGTTGAAATTATTTTTCATCTCACAACACGTTGGCTCAGTGCTCTGAGTTCTCTTCCCTAAGCCAACAGATGTCCTTTGAGTCATCTGTGCTGTTCCTAAAACTGAGGATTTGAGATCCCAGAACCCTTACCAAACTCTGGGCATGGTCATGATACAAGAGAAGAATGGTGGAGAAAAATGAGGCATAAACATTGTTTTTTTTGAGTTACAAGGTAAAACCCATCATCTAGATGACCTTTCCATAGAAACTGGAGCACAAGGAGATCCACAACTACTGAGTGTCTGGATATTTTGGCAGTTATTTGGTACTTACCTTAAAATATCAGCTCCCGGAGTGAAAGTATTGAAAC